CCCCCAAATCCCCCCAGACCCCCCCAAATCCCCCAGCGCTCACTTCTCCCTGCGCAGCTGCAGCAGGAGACACGAGAGGGCCTCAGGGTGCTCTGGGGACACCAAGGGTGGCATTGTCACCACGGGGGTGGCACCTCGGGAATGTCACCCACCCTGGGGATGTCACCTTCAAAATGTCACCTTCAAAATGTCACCCACCCTGGGAATGTCACCCACCCTGGGGATGTCACCCACCCTGGGGATGTCACCCACCCTGGGGATGTCACCTTCAAAATGTCACCTTCAAAATGTCACCCACCCCGGGAATGTCACCTTCAAAATGTCACCCTGGGGGTGTCACCCACCCTGGGGATGCCACCTTCAAAATGTCACCCTGGGGACGTCACCCACCCTGCGAATGTCACCCTGTGAATGTCACCCTCAGGATGTCACCCTCGGGATGTCACCCTCCCTGGGAATGTCACCCTGGGGATGTCACCCACCCTGGGGATGTCACCCTGGGGATGTCACCTTCAAAATGTCACCCTGGGGGTGTCACCCACCCTGCGAATGTCACCCTGTGAATGTCACCCTCAGGATGTCACCCTCGGGATGTCACCCTCCCTGGGAATGTCACCCTGGGAATGTCACCCACCCTGGGAATGTCACCGTGTCACCCACCCTTGTATTTGAGGTGCTGTAGGATCGGGATGATGGTCTCCAGCGGGATGTCCCCATGTCACCCGTGTCCCCATGAATGTCACCCCATGAATGTCACCCCGGGGATGTCACCGTGTCAATGTCACCCCCCAATGTCCCCAGGGTGTCACCCACCCTTGTATTTGAGGTGCTGCAGGATCGGGATGATGGTCTCCAGCGGGATGTCACCCCGGGGATGTCACTGTGTCAATGTCACCCCATGAATGTCACCCCGGGGATGTCACAGTGTCAATGTCACCCCATGAATGTCACCCACCCTTGTATTTGAGGTGCTGTAGGATCGGGATGATGGTCTCCAGGGGGATGTCACCCCGGGGATGTCACCCTGTGACTGTCACCCCATGAATGTCCCCATGTCACCCACCCTTGTATTTGAGGTGCTG